TATATATATATATAGTATTATGATTTTATAGAGTTTTTATAATTATCTTATACTGTTACAAAATTGAAGGATATTAATTGATTACAGACTTTAATCTCTCAATTCAATTATAATCAAATTGAAAATAGTATTTATAGTGATAATTTGGTCCTTCACAAATATATTGAAATTTGCATATTAGCATATTTAATTAGCACTACGGTATATTACATTTTGGCATCATTTTAATGAATTTTAAACAGATCAAGTAATTAAAACGGTTAACCATTAGGCAATATTATGTAATAAATATCAAATTAATTATAATCCATTAATTGTCAATAAAATTGAATTCAGACGTTCTAAACAGTATATATCTACAAGACAGAATCATAATATGAACCAGTGAAAAATATATGTTGAAAAGCAAAAAAATAGGGGACAAAAACAAGAACAAAATTATATATTTTTTTCATAATCATGATAATATAATAGAAACTATTTTATTTAAAGGTACATAAAATTTTTATAAAAGTTTTTTTGAAAAATTTAAAAAATGTATGTATGTTGAATTAATATTTGTTAAATTTTAAAAATAAAATATTTTGAAAATATTTTAACAAATAAGTATTTTAAACATTTAACGTAAAATTAATATTTGCTGTAAATATCGAAATATTTTTATTATCATGTCGTATTGTAGATCATTATTACATGATTGCGCAATTGAGTAATTAAAATTGTTGACTAAAGTATATCATAACACGCATACTGCATAAGAATTAGTTAGATTATAAAATGTTTAAATAAGTCAAGAATACATGTTTGCAACGATTTAGTCTCTCAATTTAGTTAAATTCCCTGAACGAACCATTGTAAGGGATTGCACAAAACTTACTAATTACTTTCTTGTATTAGAGAAAGTGCCCTAGCTCGACTAATTATATACGATCACTGTATCAATCTAAACTCATATAGAATGACTTTCTAACTAGGGACCTCATTTCAATATCGCATATCTGAATATTTTAACTGTGAAACTAATTATTCTATATATAATTAAAAAGAAGTATCTGCATAGAGAGAGAGAGAGAGAGAGAGAGAGAGAGAGAGAGAGAGAGAGAGAGAGAGAGAGAGAGAGAGAGAGAGAGAGAGAGAGAGAGTGAGGGAGGGAGGGAGGGAGAGAAAGAGAATATGTTATATAAGGAATATTAATGCAATACAACTAATATTATAATTTTTCATTATAATATTTTTAGAAATAAATTTCACGAAATATACTAAATACACGTAATATTTGCAATTATTACTAATAACATTTGCAGTAAAAAAATGATTTTCATATAATTAATAATTAAAATCTTTAATATAATTACCATTTATATAAAGTTTCCGGATATTTTTTTTAGAAAACATAGAAAAAATATATTCTTTTTATCTTTTTATTAAAGAATTATAATACAATATGTAAATTAAATACAAAATCTCTTGTAAAAATATTTTCTCTCGCAGATAATCTTTTTATTTATAAAATGTCGAATGCCGAAAAATCTTAAGAATCCAAACACGAAACAGCGAACATTTTGTCTGTCGAAGAATTGCGAATAAACTTTCGGACGAAAAATTCCAACAAGTGGAAACTTTCACCATGAGAAAATATTACGGCTGATGTATCTGTGTATCAGTGCGAGAGTTTGCCCATCCGCTTTTTGAAACGATAAAAATATGAGAGAAGTAACGGGGAATGGACAGCGGACAAGGCGCAATGGAATTTGTAAATTGTTCTGGGACGTAGCTTGCACGCTCGATAGAAACTTTGGCGCTTATGCCACATTCGCATTCCGTAGAGTCCGATAAATTCAATGCTCGCTCCCTTTGGTGCACATCGGCTTATTATAGTGAATGACTTTGACTCACGCTAAACGAATAGAACGGTAAAGTTAACTTAGCATTTCGGTGATGCGAAGTATATCTCATCAGGTTAGCCGCATTTAAAGTGATCGCAAGGGGATGGATATCGATGAGCAGCTCAGTTGTAAAACACTAACAATTAAGATGTTTTATTTTTTTTCTTTCTCTCTTTCTTTCTTGCAATATTCTATCTTGTTCCCAATAAAGTTGTATTTTGATTAATGTTTCTTATAATTGCATTTTATTCCAATCTCTATATATCTGAAAATATCTTACATAATTCAACATCCTTTGCCGTATCTTTTGCTTTTATTGACTAAAAAATCATTATTTTTAATTTTACAGGGAAGTACTGTGGATATAATTTGTATCGTAGGAATAACTTTTACAATATAATAATTTTACAATAACTACATAAAATAAAATTGAATCTGAAATACATAAAAGAATACTTTTGATATTAAATAATTAAAATGTAAAAGAGATAAATGAATTATACAAATATACATGTTTCCATTAAAAAATTTGTAAATTAATTTTAAAAATTATTTAAAAAAATTTTTTTATTGCAAAATATTGCAGATATAATAGAAAATATGAATAAATATTAATTAAAAATGTTTGTCAATATTTTACATCTACATTTGAAAATTCTATTAATGAAATAATTTTATTGAGTAAAATATAAAATATTTAAAAAAAATGGAAAATATTAAAGTATAAAAAATAAAAAATGGTATAATTAATACGCCAAAAATCAAAGAATAATAACTAGATGTTAAAGAAGAATTATTTAATATATTTTACAGCATATGTTATTTTTAATCAATTATTCTAAGCATATTCTAAGCATAATTCTACAGCATAATTTATTTTTAATCAATTATTCTAATCTATATTCAAATGAATGATTCTTTTGTAATTTTATATAGTTTATCTTTCTTCTATCTTATATGATAAATGCTTAATAAAATTATATTAATAAATTCTTTCAAGAATTCCATCTTAATTTTTTATCATAAAAATTTAATAAAAAATCATCAATCTTGTGGCATTTTTAATTTAAATACTATATTAAAATATTTCTATAATTAAAATGTTAAAAGCCAATCAATGAGTGATAAGTACTTTGAAGGGGATTCGCTTTGGTACAACTTTATAAATGTATGTGTGGTCAAATTACTGACAATTAAAATTTGTAAGAAATCTGATATTTTCTTTTAAATAAAAATATGCACTTATCGTACTTGTACTTTCTTTGAGCTTTTATTATGTGTGCCTCTCAAAATAAAGCAGTATAAAAAGCAGTGTCAAATTTATTAATTTTTTTAATTTTATTTTCGTGCTATACAATGCTACAGTATTTCTAAAATAAAATTATTAGCATATTTAATATCAGCTATTAATTAATTATAACTAATTTATAAATTTAGAATTTGATATATATAATCTATCATATCTTATCTATATAATCTATGCTTGATCATATATAATCTATGCTTGATCTATTTTATAAGAACATGTTTGTCCTATATAAGACATATTACGGGAGCCTGTTGCTTCTATGATATAATCGAAGAAAAGCACAAAACTGGACCATCTACTTTTGTCTGGAAGTTAAACTGTTAGACTGTTGAGTTAAATTTACACAAAACAAAATTAAAAAAGAGATTAGAGAAATTCGTACAATCAATTTCTGTACACATATATATGTAACTTGATATATGAAGATTGAATCCTCTTTGTTGTTCATCTTATTACTTCACGAAAATGAGACGATTTATATAATATTTCTGATTAATTTATGTTATACATAAATATATAAATTTTTGCTATAAAAATTATATATTTTTTTCTTTCTTTTTCTTTTATATATATATATATATATATATATATGTATATATATATATATATATATATATATATATAATAAAAATGTAATAAAATTTTTTAAATGGAATTTGATAATTTGTGCAAAAAAGAGAATATAAATTAAAGAATATTTAGAGATTTCTTGTATAAATATCTTAAATAAATCTAAAAATTATTAAGGCTTATCATACTGAAAGACTATAATATATTTATTTATTTTAGTTTTTAGAAATTTATTATTTTGGTTTTAGTATTTTAATATATTTATTTTAGTTTAGTTTAATTTAGATTTTAGAAATAATTTTCTTTGTTATAAAAAGTTATCTGTTTTATTCTTTTTATTATTTCTACATTTTTTATTAATCTCTTATGTCTTTTTTGATTTTTTTGGATTTTAAAAAGCTTGCGTAACCTAATTAATGTTATAAAATCATCAGACACTATCTTAATAATTGTACACACATATTTTATAAAGTTTATAAGCATAATTTAAAGCTAAATTTACAAGGTACATATAACATATAAACTTTCAATCTCCCTAATTCGAAAGTAGAATGAAATCTAATTATTCTAAGAGAAGATTAATATAATATTGTATAAAAATATTGTGTTGATTATTCGCAAATATTCGATTTTTAATTCATAAAGAGACAAAAAAACATTTTATTGCAATTCACTCAGTAATGAAAATTTTTATCTCCGTAAAATTTGATTTTCTAGTTTTATTTAAATAAGAGACAAAGAGAGAGACCATACACATTTGTTATTTAATTATGCAAAAAGGACATTATTTAATAAAATTTATATTTATTTATAATATATTTTTATTTATTTGTAACGTAAAAATTCATCATTTAAACAGTCTCTTTTTATTTTTCAAAAATAAATAAAAACCGATGCGAAAAGAATATGATATCAAATAAAATAAATTTAGAAAAATAATACATATAAATATATTATTCAAGTTTTTTACAATAACAGAAAATACAATTTTCATAATTTTCATGTGTATTTTAAGCAATAAATGCGAGATAAAATACGTGAAGATTATAAAAGTCGACAAAGTTAAAACAATAAGAATATTTAATAGAATAAAGATATATATAAAAGTAAGATTTAATGTAAGCTAGAAATTAATTGATTATTTTTCAATTTTAGAGGAAAATTTATAACACTTAAAAAAGAGAGAGAGAGAGAGAAAGAGAAATTTTTATTTATTAAAAATTAGAATCACTTACCTTTTAAAAGTAGAATTGAAAGTGTCAAAAGACGTGACAACGTAACAATGAATTCGATGAGAGAAATCGACGATCCGTTTGGAGTTTGGCAATCCTCCGGGTTTCAAGGTGAGAACTGTTCGGTATGGCGAACAGCGGTCAACTGACTGAATCCGAAGCTCCGCGTGCTTCAAGTTAACGTAATGCTCGCGGTGCGGTGACGTCATGGGGTACATGGACCAATCAGAGGACTGAGCTTGCACCCTTAAACAGGGGTGGAACGGCCCCCACCGATCGGTTCGCGAAGGGAGCCTGCATCTCGGACACCTGGATGAACGGCGATTCGAACAGCGATCGTCTGTTCTTCTTTTCCGCGCGCGAACTACCCTCTTTTTGCTCACTTCCTCGACATGGACTTCGCCCACGTGAAAATTGTTTAACTGTGACGTCGTTGATGTACCCTCTAGTGAATGAAAGCGTTATATAAAACCGATCGCCATTATTAAACGGATAATACGTGTAGTGCCGTATTCGATATGACGAGTTTACTCACTTCGGTTATTAAATCTAATCTCATAATTCAATGTCTCGATCAATAGTGATCACCATCTAACTTGTCTTAGAAAAAGGAATAAATTAAAAAAAAAAGAATTTGCTTTTTCTCTGATTAAATAAGCATGAGATAAAGGTAAGCTCTGCTTTTGTATCGCGTAATTAATGACAGTCGGTATGGAATTAAAGCAAATGATGATTAATATGTTCATAAAGATACAACTTTTTCTGCTCGAAGGATTTTTTTAATTTTAATATAAATGATAGTTTCTTTCCACAAACCTTTCGAATATAAAACGAAAAATAGTAATAATTTATAATAAAATTTTTCAACTTATATTTGTTTTTCAAATAGAAAAATATTTTGCAATAAGAAAATTCTGTTCTTTCAAAAACAAAAATGTCAAAAACAAATTTTCAACATTTTATAAATTTATAGCGGAGGGTTTATAAATATTTGAATATGATTTTCGTTTTTCCGTTTTTTTCTATGTATAATGCTATTTACAGATATGATAAAAATGTAACAAATATGATATATAAGACGTGCATAAAACTTATGTATTTTTAGAAGTAGGATTATATAGTTCTCTTTATATTTTAATATTGATTTATATTGTATGAGAGTGACAGGATGTGACACGAGAAAATATTCTTTTACACATATAGACGTATTTGTCTTTATATATCATTTCAAGTCCAATATGAATGAACATTTTTATATGCATATTATAAAAAAATATTTTATCAAGTTGAATCATAAAAATTAATACCTTTGTAGATTAATTCAAATAAAATCGATTGCAATAAAGTGGAACGAAATATATTTTTTTCAAAAATACGTCTTCGAATATGTCGATCAAAAAAATTAATGTTATTATTAAAACACGTGTAAAATTATGTACATGGAAGAATGATTATGGTGGAGCAAAATGATGGAATAGAATATGCCGCGGATGTTATATATTCTACTAAAAAGATTTTTATAAAGGAACGAATTTTTTATAATGAACCGATAATTATTCTTATAAAAGCTATTGAAGTTGTAAATTTTAATTAATATAATATCATTCCAAAAGCGCGAAATATTATAATATCTTTTTTCCAATATGTAATTATTTCTACAATATCATTTAAATATTTTACTGTTATTAGAATTATTTATCTAAAGATATGTCATATTCAGATCGTTTAAAATACTTAAAGTATATCATTAACTCGCTTTTCGAACTGCCAGACATTTTTTGTTGCATGAGTTAACAACTAAGCTTCCCATTAAAGTGGACAAACTATTCTTGAAGATACATACGCGTACAACTTTTTTCTGATAATTATAAATATATCTTTAAACATTATACATATAATAATTTAAAATATTAAACGATACGTGATAACTATATATATTTTATATTATTCTGAATCGAAAATTTAGACACGTTTGGTGAAACAGTAAGTTTCATCCGAGGATAAATGTGATAACTGAATTAGAATCCCAAAGTGCGCTAATCGCTTCGTATTTGTTATCTCGAAAGATGGTAATCTTTATGAGGATACGCGTGCTGTAAAATAAACCAGAGCAAGTATAAATTTTATTGTTTTAAAACGTTTGAAAGTGCAACAACATTGTACATACACAAACATTAAATGTTATACATATACTATTTTATATTTTAAAAATGTATGTTTTTTTCGTAGATTTATAGAAAGTTTTTTTATATTGATTTAATAATTTTTTTTATTATTATGAATATGAAACTAACAACATGAGTAATACCTGCCTTGCTTCAAAAATGCTTAAAAATAAATGCTATCAAATGCGCTGGTGCATCGATTTTTAGATAGCATTTTTCGAACGAGAAAAAAATTTATGAACGATAACACAACGAGATATAATAGCTATTGCTTAACACGAGAATCTCATTAATTGATATTATCAAATATGTGACACACTTGTCACTCATCGAACGTCATATGTTCGATATCATCGATCAACGAGATTCTTGCATTAAGCAATAGACATTGTATCTTGTTATAAAACGTGAAAAAATAAGCAAAACATATATATAAAGTTATGACACACATATCTATTGTAAATATTATAAAAATTAATAAATTTATTAAAACTTTATACAACTTATACATCATGCAATTAATAATAAAGTAGAAGAGTGAAAGAAAGAATTATCACTGAATTAATTCGAAACACATTAACGTATGAGAACAATAATACTATATAATATATTGTAAAATTGTCTATCTCGAAAATTCTAAAATTATTTTGCTTCTCTATAAAAATACATTCATCAGTAACAGAAAAGACTATTTAAAAAAGTGTACATTTCTTAACGATGAATATCAGTCTTGTACAATAAATATTATTGTGTGCAACATCTTTTAAATATTATAAATGATAGAAAAATAATCATAAGGAATAAAGAGTGTTCATGTTCTTAAAAATAAATATTATATACATATAGTATTGTATATTAAATATTATTGTGCAATACCATTATACGAAAGAAAAGTTTATCATTGTAAAATCATACTTTTCTAAACATGAATAAATAGTTAGTTACAGTTTCACTATTCCATTAGAGTCTCGCCACTTATTATTATACCTCGAACGAAGGCGATGTTCCCGATCGATCTTTCACAATTTGCACCTTTAATCGCGTGAGTTCCTCGAACAAAGAAAAAGTCACCTTAACGTGTTTCTGTAGAGTATTTTTATAAACTGACGTATTATATAAAAGACAAGGGAGATAGAAGATGTGCTACCATACTGACCTTTGAGAAAAACAGATATATAGTATATGTGTGTGTTGTGTATGTATGTAAATGCACATATACATTCAAATCGCTTCGTCGTAGATATTCACGAGTTGGTCCATAGTGCGTAGTCGATAGTTATTATCTTCATCATTCGTGTTCTATATCTCGCGCGTGAAGAAAATCAGTTTGCTACAACTGTCGCTTGTCGAGCTAACGAAATATCTCATATCAAAGAAAATATATATTTAAAGGGAGAGAAGCAGAGAGACAAAGAGACTGATTTTTTGACAAATTTAAAACGACGATTTTTTTTATAAAAAAATTATTTTTATGAAAAAAATTCTCCATTTGTTACTTTCTTTTATCCAGCTTTTTGACAAGCTTATCTCGAATCATACTATTAAAGTTAATTTGCAATTAATCAAGAAATAAGATTTTATTATACACATAGAATTCTTTGTAAAAATATTTTTTTTTGTATAAATTGCTTTTATTTAAAGAAATGCAAAATGCAGCTTATGTGTCACGATGGAATATAACAATCCACGGAACAACTTATCGCTATTTCAAAGTTAGAATCTTCCAACTGAAGAAAGTGCGATGGTGGTTTTTCCTTATGGGATTTGAGAAGAGGGAGTACGGCATTTGCAAGAAAATAAAATGGTTTCAGTTTCACAGTCGATCTGCTATGGTCGCGAACCGTTACTAACGTCTTGAGAAGAAAGTATTCCCAAGTGATTGTTTTCGACATTCTTATTCGCGTGAACCGAGTAATACACATGCAGTCTGTACACAGAGTATCTTCTAACATTTGCATCAAATCTCTCAACCATAAAGTCCGACTCATTCAAGGTTGACCTTTTTTATTCTTATTGTGCACGTAAGAATATATTATATATAATATATATTCATCCATACGTATAATAACTTTATAGAAGTTTTGTTTTACGTGCATAATGTGCAAAAAATGCAAGCTAACACGAAATAGATTCCGTGGATGATAATCCAAGGTTTTAAAAAAATTGTTTTATTAAAAAATTTCCCTCGATACTATTTGAGCTCAAATAAAATAAACTTTTCTCTGTTATATTTGTTTTAATTTACTTGAGCATTTATATTTATTGTTCAGATAACATTATAACTTTTTTACGTTGCCGGAACGGAAAGGACTCCGTCCTTTTGTTTCGCCTATCATCCGAGCGAGCGAGTTACTTGTCAAACTATACGAGCGTTCACTTGATTTATATCATAAATTCAATTGATATTGAAACTAAAAATACCGCGCCCTGACCGCTTTTCTCCTAAGCACTTTACCACATTTCCCGCTAAAATTCATATAACATTGACATATTAAAAAATATCTTTTACTAATTTATTTCCCATAAAAAATTGCATAGTATATTAATTTCTTAATATTGGAAAAATAGTCAAAAAATAGTCAAATAGTTTGATAATCATGATATTATAATATATATAAATAATTAATGTATATGCATAATTAATAATTTGGAATTACATTAACTTATCTGCCAGGAAGAAATAGTTTTTTTTAAATAAAATATTAATATATCTTCGTTTGTATATATAATAAATGTGGTTGTTTAATGAAACGTTTGTGAATGTTTAATGAAAGGAAGGATATAGACTTTTCGCGAGTTTAACATTTGCGACTATTTTTTTATCATCAAAGTGAAGAAAATAGACTAGAAGTAATTTCATTGTTAATAATATCAATAAAATATCAATAAAATTGCATTCGTTTCTCTAAAAATTACCTTAATACGACTATTTTATTGTGCGATTAATTGCTATACGATGCACTTCAATATCCACTTTATACTAGCCAATTTCCTTTGCAAGTTGTAATCGAACATCGAGGATATAAAAGAAGCATCGAAGATATCTGTATCGTTTTGGCTTAACGTGAAAAGCGAGAATATTCCATTCATTGAAGAATAGAAAGAAGAAATTTGTCACAAAATTGATCGACCGCTCTTATTCTGGTAAAAGATTTAGCTGGGAAATTACATTGATTGATCGGATTTAACGATGCCAAAAAGCTGCATTCTACCGAAGATCCTTATTTATTTCCTTCCACCGATTGACGAGTTCCGATTTAATACTCGATATCCTGTTATTGTCATACCGGAAGCAAAACAATCGAATTAAAGTGGCGTCGCTCAACAAACGAACACATTTAAATTCATATCCGATTTAAATTATTGCATTGACTATTTTTTGGAAACTATAAAGCATTCCATTAAAAACAGATAAATTAATATATACAAAATTATATTATATAAAAATAAATCTCAAAATTTAGTTTGATGTTAGATAAAAGTGAATTATAATACATCCTAACAATTGTATACTATACATTATAATAATTACAAGTAGAAATTACAAGTAAATATTAGTAAATATTATCCAGTCTATTTATTCGCTTCCGTAACTCAAAAGAGAATGTAAAAACATAAGAAGAAAGCACGATTTTATTTGTTTTAGCATCTGTGATGAGAAAACATGTATTGCAACTGTATACCCATATTTGTTTCATCTTTTCCAGATTATTTAATATCTAAATGAGCTATTTGTAATTTATGAGAAAAATATCGACCGAAATAAGTATTGTTTTGCGCTTGAAATAAAATAAACTGAATAGTTATATATTTCAGTAAAATTTTAATTTTTTATGACAATGGAAAAAGATTTTTAAGAAATATTTAGTATATAATAATAAAATAAAAGGACTAGAAAAATTGTTTACATTTGTTCAAATATATATTATTTATATTTTACTGCATAATTTCTCCTTAGATATTGTTAGATTTTTCTCACTATATTTTGTGTGTGTGTGTGTGTGTGTACATGTATGTCATATACGCGCGCGCGCGCGCGCGGCGTGTGTGTGTGTGTGTATGTATATATATATATATATATATATATATATATATATATATATACACACACACACACACATTCATACCTTTATTTGATTTTTTATTCATTTCTTTATGTGATTAAGAGATATCTTGATTAAGAAATACAAAATTAAAAATAATATTTTATTACAAACATTTAATTACTTATTTTTCATACAAATAAGAGGTAAAAAGTAAAGTTTAAGATCTTTGATTTGAAAAATTTCCTTCACGTTTATTATAAGATTATATTACGTTAATTTTTAATTTTTTTAAATTTGTAAAATTATAAATAATTCTTTTGTTTCCGAAAAAGAAAAGAGAAAAGGAAAGCTACTTATATTTCAGTCTCTGGCTTCTATTTCCGTTTCTGTTTTTAGTTTTCTGCTTTTGTTTTTATTATCAACTTTTTCATTTCAGAAAGATTATGTTGTTTTCTTTAGTACTTTTGCTTTCTCTGATTCTCCAAAACATCTATATGCTTACTTATTTGGAACATCCAATATCATTTTATTACGTTTGTCTTCATATATCGTTCGAAAATCGTCTCTTTGTTTCTTGATACTCACATTTATTGAAGAAAAAATCGCTGCTTAAATCGTGCCTTTTTCTAAGGTATCACGGCCATTGGACACAAAGAATGACATCATCAGACCAAGATCGTTTTAGCAGGATTGTTCGATCAGCTCGTAAACAGATGGAAAGGGTAAAGAATACGAGTGTGAGAATCTTGAAGGATAGGTCAGTTCACATCGAAAGAAATAATAAAATCGAAGCAATCCTCAGAGTATGCGTCTATCTTCTTCGGATTAATATTTCGAAAAATCGTTTTTGCATATCCTCAAAAGAAGAAGGAGAGTCAAAAATGAAATTAAAAAATATAATTATTACATAATCAAATTTTATTTTGGTGGATAAAATTTTTCGACTTTCATTAACGAAATAACTTTCAAAGTGATATCACTGTTTCTTTAGAAAGAATTCTTTTTACTTTATTTCGTATTAATAAATACGCTCTCAATCAAGAATAAAATAAAAATGTGTCGTTATGAAAAAGCTTGGTAGAAACAAAATATAATATCTTCACCAATAACCTTATAAGCATTTATACTTCTTAAATAAAATGTAATATTTAAATATCATACATAAATATACAATATTGTGTCACTTATAAAAGTTCAAAAGTTTAATGATCTTATAAAAAAAATATATTGTTTTAATAAAAATCTAAAAATTTATATATCTATGTGTACAGAATACAGAATACAGAATACAAAAATATCTTATATAAACTTTAAATAGAATCTTGTACTTAGTGTTAAAAATTCTACTAATATAAAATCCTACTTATATTACATCAATTTTACATATGAATGAAAAATGTATTAATTATATTATTTATATAACTAACATTTGTTATAATATATATGCATATATATTTTATGAATAATACATATATATATATATATATATATATATATATACATATAAATATATTTTATATATTTATATGTATATATGTATTATACATAATAACATATTTTATTATATATGTGTGTGCGTGTGCGTGTGTGTGTGTGTGTGTGTGTTTATACCAACATACTAATTTTATTTTTAAATTAACAATATTTAAATACAACACTTATTATTAATATTTGAAAGTATTACATTTGTTTCTTCTTTTGCGATTTAGATACGGCATATATATGATCATGACAAAAATTAAATAATTTTTTCAATACAAAATATACGGTCAACAATATTATAATAAGATTAAAGAACAAAAATCCGTAGACATCGATCAGGTTCTGTTCCACCCAACTCTGGGATCTAAGCGGAGATTCTAAACTTCCATGTGGATGACGAGCGGCGTATTCGATCCACCAAACGGCCAAATCTAACGGCGGCACTGGTCGATCCCGAAATTCACTGGATAATTGTTTCATATTTTTTGTATAACTGTACAACAAATATTTTATATTATTAATAATATTATATAAACTTAAACGTCTTAATTAAACGCTGAACAGAATATAATATAACACACTTAATTAAATTCTAAAACACTATTTTAAGATATTATTTTAACTCTTTTTATTTATATTACATTATAGTATTTTAAAGTATTTTTATTTACAATTAATTATTATAGTTACTATTCGGATGATCTATTATTATATTAAGATATTAATAAAATTTATTTAGAAAACATACACAATATAACAAATAAATATAATCAACATATTAAAAATATTTAAATATCATACCTTTCATTGTAAAGTATCTTTTCAAAAGCATCTAATATGGACTCCGTGGATAAAGTATTAATATCTAGCTGTACAGCAACACCTTTATTTATTAATAATGCTATATTATATTTTTGATCTATAAAGAATGGCATTCCGATTATTGGTACACCTTTCCAAATGGCTTCTTGTGTACTCAAAAGACCACCATGCGTCCATATTGCTTTTACATTCTTGTGAGCTGAATATAAATATATTATAATAAATTTTATTCTTTGAAATTATGATAAAGAGAATATATGTATATATATTCTTTGATATATGCATATATATAAATTATAGTTAACTAATAAAATTATAGTTAACAAAATATTTGCATTGATGTTAGAATATAATATATATAATATTCTGACATCAATGCAAACATTTTGTTAGTTATAATTTTTTTTTATCAAATTAATATATTTTTACAAATTATTTTTAAATAAAAATATGTCTTTATTATAAAATTATGAAAATTAATTTTATTGCAGATATCTCAGAAAAATGCGATAATTCGATAAATTTATATCAAGATATTTATAATTAATAATATATTATAAATAAATATATAAATAATATGTAAGAGATTTTTTACTAGCCATTTCTTTTTTACTAACCAATTACAAAAAAAATCAAAAAGAAAACTTTAATTCACAAAATAATTACGTGTTTATGTTTGTCAATCTTTATGTACATTGTGTGTTTTGTTTTATTTAAAAAATACAATCATAATTTAAATAATAATTTGAATCGGTGGTATTAAAAGCAAATACAATGCTATCAGTCTAAAAACACATTTGAATTTTATGAATTAATATTTGATCTAATAAAAACAAATCAAAATTTAAATTAAGAAAAAATAATAGCTAAATACAATGCTATCAGTCTAAAAACACATTTGAATTTTATGAATTAATATTTGATCTAATAAAAACAAATCAAAATTTAAATTAAGAAAAAATAATAGCTAATTATAAATAACAGTTATAAGTAAGAATATTGAATTACGTATTTTTCGCATCTTCTAGTATGTTATGAAAACACAAAACTACTCACACAAAATTTCGTTTTGAGGCATCCACTTTAAAATCATTATATTATTCGGCACTTGAAATGGCATTTCAATATCTAGCTTCCAAAGTGCTCGTTGTTTGAGTTTTGACAGAGCTTGTGTGACGGCCTCAAGTTTATCTAATCCGATCGATTTCCATTTTACATTCGTTCCCAACGATATTATAACAACTCCATCCGTTGCCTCATCAAGAAATTTACGTATGCTCTGTAATATAATAATAAAAATATTTTAATAATATACTATTTATTTTATGTACATGTTACATTACATTAATTAATCTGTTATACTCACAAAACAAATTACATTTAAGCAAAAAGGCTAACAACCTTTATTGTCAAACTTTATAAATCAAATATATAATTCTTTTAATGTTTGTGAAATAACTGTCAAGTTAAAAGATTGTGAATGAGCGTTTATGAATGATATTTGTATTCTTTATTTTAAATAATATATAATTTGTTTGAAGTTGCCGGTTATTTACAGTCATTGCACAGTGGACAATCATAAATGATTAGATAAAATGATTAGATGTTAAAAAATGTTTGTCTAATATCGTGAGCAATAATAAATGACTTCTATTGTTAAGAAGATAGTTATAAATTATAAAATAATTATCATAAATTATAGTCATTTTAGCTAGTTGAATTTAAAATTATTATTACTACACACGAAGTTATTATTATCAACATTATTATCAGTAGTAAGAGCAGAAATCTCAATTATAATTTTTTTATTATGCAATTATGACCTTTTTTCAATATATCCATTATTTATCAAAAAATATCATTATTTTAATAAGAATATTTTTTACAATGTTCTGCAAATACAATAAAAGAATATAAATGAAAATTGTATGTGCACAGATTAATGATAAATTTTAAATCAGAAAAAATTCTTGATTATAATTAATTTTTTTTACTATGTTCAAGTTTGATTTTACTATCATTTTTACTAAAAAAATTTTTTAAATAAATTTTTGAAAATATTCACTCTTACATCGGGATATGTTGTAGTTTCCTCGTTAGTAATTCCTTGTACAGCTTGAGCATGCAATCCTCCAATTTCTATGGCGTTTGGCGGCAATGGAATCCCAGGTTCAAACGCAGAATGACTATTGATTAATATGATAGTAATATTTTTTTCTATTTCAAATAACGATCTAATCTCGTGACCTATGTATTGCTTAGTTATTTGTTGAGAGATTGGCATATAGTAATATTGCCGGACGAGATCGTCCAGAATGTAATAAAGAACATTCAATGTTCTTTCCCACAGATTTATGGGTTTTGCAAGATTTTTATATGGAAAAGATCGAACAGTCGGATAATGAGGGCCTCCAATATAATACTTGAGCCAAGGTGCAGTACCAAATGGAAGATAGCCTACTACAGGCGGCTTGCCTTTAGCAACCTAAAAACAATGACCTATTGAATGCTAGATAAATATTTTTATATATATTAAAGAGATTTACTTTAATTACAATAAACAGAAAAATTTTATATAATTTAAATTTGGAAGAAAATTTTACACGTGTGCGTAACTTTTTTTTAGAAAAATAGCATTATTCTTTGTTTAATTAGATTCTAACGTGAATTTATTTTAAAATTGAAACGCTAAGGTTGATATATTAAAATTATAAAACTGCGAAAAAGGAGACATTAAATTTGTTTTAAGAAAATAATAATTATAAATTATACAAAAAATTACATTATAAAAATACACTATAAATACACTATAAAGATTTTTTTTTAAGAGATATGAAAATGAAAGTTTTCTAAATAAATCACGACTTCTATTATTTAAACCAAGTGTTATCTAACCAAGTGCTATCTAACTGATTGTGAGTCTTTAAGAGTTATTTTATTTAGTTACGCATCCTTTTTTCTTCTTATCTCTTTCTGTCTGATTTAATCGCTTGCACCGTATGTTACATAATGCTAATTGTCATAATATTAAATGTCAGATCATAAATATATTCAATCACAATATAATTTTGTAATTAGTATTATTAGTAACTAAGTAAAATACATCAACATATTCAATATATGTATATTATTAATTGTGCATTTATGTTATATTATTATTGGAATAATAATGCACAGGAAATATTGTTCACACAACAACACAATATTGATAGATTCTTTATACTTACTTCCCACAAACTGTATAAGCATTCAGGCATCGTAATGTCTTGCACTATGATATCAAATTCAACCTCTTTGATCATTTCCAAAAGTTCCGTCGCTGCTTTAGTTTCTATCACTTTCTTAGATACAACTGTCGACCATTCATATACAAAATATATCATGTAGAATACATTATATTTTTCCCATTCAGATGCATCAGCATTTTCGTCTCCCCGCATTTCTTTTACTAGGTTATCAAAAACCTGAAACCAATAAATATTGTAATATACAGAAATAAAAAAATATGTGATTTTAGGAAATACTATTTTAAATAAGATCGGTTATTTTAAATAATAAGGTTACTGCATTTTTGATGTATGTTTAGATATTATGATAAATATATAATCTTGTTTTCTTTCTTTCTTTTCTTTAATATTTTTGTCTATTAGATATAAAAATTCTATTATAGTTTATATTATAGTTTCATTTATATATATATATATATATATATATATATATATATAATTTATAATTAAAAAAGAATTAAAATTATATTATATATATATAATCTAATTTTAATTCTTTTTTAATTATAAATTTTTTGTTTTTTAAATCAAGATAACTATGTTATCTATAATTTACAATAATGAGATTGATTTATCTTTTAATGATAAAATTGTGAAATATTTATTTGCGTTGAAATTTTATTTATTATCTGATTACAATCTAATCTTTAATGTGGAGTTTATTTCTCTATCGAAATGCTATTTGAAGCAACATATAGCATAGTAATTTCATGTAACATTTGTTATCATACATATATTTATATTGGGTGTATCCGTAATAGGACCGCTCATTGAGCGAAAATAGCAATTGAATGTGATTGATTTTTATCTTTGAATTTATCAATTACATTTGATTGCTACTGAGCGATCATACTTCCGGATGTACTCAATGATTCGTTATGCAATAAATGAAGGCAGCATCCACACATTTTTTTATTGTACATATTCTGATGATGTAAAAAAGGACAACGTATTTGTAAATTATAAATTATATATAAGTTACTGTTTTATTTATTTTATGTGTTGAAAATAATCGAAGGAAATTTATCTAGAATATAGTTTTAACTTATAACATATACTTACGGCGTATGTTAAATTCTGCCCGAGTGTACCTTTAACTTTAGTTTCATAGAGGCTCACTGCATGTACATGATGGCCTTTGCGGAGCAATCCTTTTACCAGATTCGTCGTCCAAAGATGATGGCTGGGCGATGGAAGAGCTTCTATCACTAAAATCGACAGCGAATTCGATACTGTTGCGAATCCCATTAAAATACAATAAATAAAGAAGCATTTCAACATGGTTAAAACAAAGTAACACGGATGCCTTTCTTGCTTACTGCTACACTCGAGATTCACGACTGACTGTTTCTATTGCAATTTACCGACCAGTTGCGAGTCTGAAACAGTTACGAGTGGGGAGAGATCAAGGCTAATGCTATTATGAGTTATTTTCAAGAATGAAGCAAATTATTATACTATAAGTTTTATAATACGTATACAAGCTGAAACACTTATAACTTTATAACTTTATACTCTACTAACTATTTACAGTTAAATAATCCAAAAATAAATATTTCAAAAAATTACGTTTCCTCATAATAAATTCATGAAATTCGTCGACATAGTTATTTTTGAACTATTTAAACACATTTGTTTTCAGCGTTTCAAAAAATCTATCATATTCACCTATTCTGCTTTTTGTAACTAACTAAGCCTAAAATTTCGTAGGCCTGTGTAATTATTACATTAAGATATTATTCTAATTTATATGCAAAATAACATATATACTTACATAAATATGTAACAAAAAAATTATCAACACTAAATATATTCAAATACTCTATACCTCTCATTGTAAAGTATTTTTTCAAACATGTTTAATACTGATTTTGTAGACAAAGTTTTATGATCTAAACGAATGTCAGCTTCTTTATGTACTAATAGTTCTACATTGGGTTTCTGATCCGCAAAAAATAGCATTCTAATTACTGGCGCACCATTTCAGATGGCCTTGTGCTAAGAAGACCACCGTGCGTTCAAATTACCTTTACATTCTTGCGAGCTAAATATAAAAATATATTATATTATAATGCAATTATCAAATAATTTCAATTATCAAAGATAAAGAAAAGCACAATCTGATATTAATACAAACATTCTGTAAGCTATGTAAATTTCTCAATTAAATTAATGTATATGTGTATAATTAAAAATATAATTATACACACACATAATAAGCATTCTGATGTTAAATTATTTTCAATTAAAAAATCATTTAATAATATAATAAAATATAATACTGATTTTATCATAGAAATCCTAAAAGAAATATGGACTCGTATTTATTTAATATTTCTACAAAGAACTAATTGCATTTCGAAAATAATATTTTGTACTTAAGCAATTATAAATAAAACCACATAAAAAAATCCACGTAAAGAATTAGAATTAAATTTAATAAATTAATATTTTATTAATAAAAACAAATCAAAATTTAAAATTATAATTATTTAGATAATTATATATATAAGATATAGATAATTATGTATATATTTTTATCATACACATAAAAACGATTTAACTATACAATTTGATTGATTTTAAAAACATACTTGTGTAATTATATTGGTTGATGTGTGATAAATTACATTGCATCTTAGATCAGCTAATAACTCGAAATCGAGTTTGAGTAGATTTCTATTACTTCTTTATAAACCACTTAGTTATAAACATTACAAACACGAATATTGAATCGCATATTTTTTGTATCTTTAAATAAATTGTACATCTTACATAAAATTTTATTTTGTAATCTGTTTCACAACCATTACATTGTTCGGCGTTTTAAATGACAATTCAATATTTAACTTTCAAAGTGCTCGTTGCTTCAGTTTTTTTTTCAGACAGAGTATGACAGTTTTAAGTTTATCTAATTCGATAGATTTCCAGTTTACGTGTGTTCCTAATAATATTATAATAATTCCGTTTTTTGCCTCATCAAGAAATTCACGTATGATCTGCAAAATATTTAACAAAATGAAAATATTTCAATGATGTACAAAAATATTTATATATGTCAAAAATCTAAAAATTCATGTGTATGTATGTATACAGAATACAGAAATATTCTATATAAATTTTAAGAAGAATTTTGTACTTACACTTAATGTACAAAATTCTGCTAATATAAAATTCTATTTATATTATATTAATTTTAAATATGAATGTAAAAATTTACTATTAATTATGTTATTTATATAACTAATATTTGTTAAAATATATATCCATATATGCTTATGTACATATATACATATAAATAATATTTTACTGTATATATATATATATATATATATATATATATATATATATATATATATATATATATACAGGGTGAATCATAATGGTTGTACCAATCTTTTACCATTAGAGATCAATTACCGACTGCAACTATAATCAAATGATTCATAGATGATAGCTGCTTGGATTGACCGTGTCTGCAGTAACGTACAAGCGAATTAAATACTGTGAATTAAATAATATACATATTCTATGCAAACATACTTTTCTAATATATTTAACTCTTTTATATATATATATATATATATATATATATATATATATATATGTATATGTATATTATTTGATTCACAGTATTTAACTCGCTTGTATGTACCGCAGCATGGTCGATCCGAACAGCTGTTATCTATGAATCATTCAATTGATTAGAGTTGCAGTCGGTAATTGATCTCTAATGGTAAAAGTTGGTACAACCATTATGATTCACCCTGTATATATGTACAGTAAAATATTATTTATATTAATATATAAATATATTAGTATATATATATATATATATATATAGTATAATAAGTATATAGTATATATATATATATATATATATATATATATATATATATATTTATACTAATATACTAATTTTATTTTTAAATTAACAATATTTAAATGCAACACTTATCATTAATATTTGAAAGAATTACATTTGTTTCTTCTTTTGCGATTTAGATATAGCATACGTATGATTAAGACAAAAATTAAATAATTTTTTCAATAGAAGATATACGATTGACAATATTATGATAAGATTCAGAAACAAAAATGCGTAAATATCGATTAGATTCTGTTTCACCCAACTCTGGGATCTAAGCGGAGATGCTAAACTTCCAGATGGATGACGGGCGGCGTATTCGATCCACCAAACGGCCAAATCTAACGGCGGCACTGGTCGATCCCGAAATTCATAGGATAACCGTTTCATATTTTTTGTATAACTGCACGACAAATATTTCATTATTAAAAACATTGTATAAACTTATGGTACACATTAATTAAACATGAAGAACATAGAAAATATATATAATAAAACATATTTAACAAAATATATTAAATTCTAAAAAATGTCGTTTTAAGTTATTATTATTATATAACTATAGTTACTTTTATATTAATACTATAATAATTATCACTGAAATATTCGAAATTATCATTGAAATATTATTCAAATTTATTCACAAAATGACATGTATGTATCTGTACATATATCTGTAAATATGTATTAAAAAAACTAATATCAGATATATTCAAATATCGTACCTTTCATTGTAAAGTACTTTTTCAAACGCGTCTAATACTGATTCCGTGGATAAAGTGGCAATGTCTAAGCGAACGCCAGCTCCTTTATGTACTAATAATTCCACATTGGGTTTTTGATCCGCAAAAAATGGCATTCCAATTACTGGCACTCCATTCCAAATAGCCTCTTGTGTACTAAGAAGACCACCATGCGTCCAAATTGCCTTTATATTCTTATGATCTGAATATAAATGTAATATAATAAATTTTAACTATCTCAACTGTATAAGAAATAAAGAGAATTAAAATCTAATATTAATACAAATATTTTGTGAGAATATACTGTGTAAATTTCTCTATTATTAAATTAATATAAAAGTGCAATGCAATTATAATATTATTAAATTAATATAATAATGCAATAATCATTAAAAAACAAATAAGAATTTAAAAATATAAATATTTAGATAAATATATGTACAAAAATAATAACTAATTATAAGAAATCATTATGAACATATTTATTTGCATATCTTCCAATAAATTATGAGACGTACTCAAAATTTCGTTTTGTTGTAGCCATTTCACAACCATTATATTATTTGATACTTCAAATGACAGTTCAATATCTAGCTTCCAAACAACTCGTTGATTGAGTTTTGATAGAGCTTGTGTGACGGCTTTAAGTTTATCTAATCCTATAGATTTCCAGTTTACATTTGTTCCCAATGATATTATGACAGCTCCATTTTTTGCATCATCAAGAAATTTACGTATGCTCTGCAAAACATATTTAACAAGATGAAAAAATACTTCGATAAAATCAAAATATACTTTCACTTATATTCAATCATAAATACATTTACAAAATAATTATAAAATCTATTATAAATGAAGAAATATTTAAAGAATTGGATTAATTTCGCGAGTAATAATAACTACTTAAATTATCAAAAAATCTCGTTATTAATAAGAATATTTTTTTTGTAATATTTCTTGTATATAAAATATAAATATAAATATTCAAATTTTTGTATAAATATGTACAAATCAATAATAAGTTTTAATTAAAGATTCAGAAAAAATTTCATTCAATTCCATTTCTTTAGCATGTACAATTTTGATAGTATTTTTATTAATTCTTAAATAATAAATCTCACATCGGGATATATTACGGCTTTTTCATCGGTAGCTTGTAATGGTTGAGCATGTAGTCCCCCAATCTCTATGGCGTTTGGTGGCAGCGGAATCGCGGGTTCAAATGCAGAATGGGTATTGATTAATAAAATGGTAATATTTTTTTCTAGTTCACGTAACGGTCTGATTTCATGACCTATGTACCGTTCAGCAATTCGCTGAGAGATTGGCATGTAATAATAACTTCGTAGAAGATCATCTATGAAGTAATAAAAAGTATTCCACGTTTTTTGACATAGACTTTCGGGTTTCGCAATAGCTGTATTTGGATAAGATCGAACAGTCGGATAATAGGGACCACCGATATAATCTTTAAGCCAAGGTGCAAGACCGTATGGAACGAAACCTACGACAGGTGGTTTGCCTTTAGCAATCTGAAAACAATCTATATAAGATGATATTTTCTCATATTTTTTTATTTTTTTGAGATGATATTCGCTCATATTTTTGATTATGTAAGAAAGCCTAATTCTAAAAAAATGTATATATATATATATATATATATATATATATATATATATGTGTATAAATAGTGATTATAAATATAGGTATAAATGTATGTATATATGTAATAATTATTTCAATCAATTTTCAATCTACTTTTAAATTATAAGCGGTTATAATTTATAACAAATATTTAAAATTGATAATAAATAGAAAATATGTAATAGAAAATAATTTATAATAGATATTCTTAAATTATGTTTTATAAAAATTGTTGCAAAAATTTTCAAGTAAGAAGTTTCAATACTTATATAGTTCAATTTTGTAATTTAATAATTTAAATGTAAATTTATTTTACAATTAGATTGCCAAAATAGACGTAGTAAAAATTAAAAAAGTAATTAAAATTCTTAAAAAAAAATTAATTACAGATTTTTTTTAAAACAATTATACTTTAAATATTATCATCTGTATTATCTAATGCAAATGCTATTTAACTAAAGATTCAAGAGCTCCTGATTATACTTTTCTTTTTCTTTCTTAAATATCTTTTCTTATATTGTTTACACATGTGACGCCAAATTAGATGACTTCATGTATCTTAAAAGTTAAATTATATATAAATACATAAAATTATAATTTAGTCTGTATTAAACGCTACTAGTGAATAGTACATCATAATTTGAATATATATCATTATTATTATATTATTACTAATTTAGAAATTGTATTTTTTAATTCTATTTAAATATAATTTAAATCAGACAATTTATACATATATACATACATACTTTAATACATTGTTTAATCTTACTTGCCACAATCCGTATAAACATTGATGAAGCGTAACGTCCTGTACTATAACATCAAATTCCACATTTTTTATCATCTCCATAAGTTCTTTCGCTTCTTTAGTTTCTATAGTTTTTTCACAAGATGATGATGCTATATTATACAAAAAATATGTCGCATAAGATACACTAAACTTTTCCCATTCATTTGGGTCATAATCCTCGGATTCATGCAACTGTTCCATTATATCACCAAAGATCTAAAAATTACAAGTATAGTTTATTAAACAAAATAAAAATGGCATATGGTGTAGATAGGAAACAATATTTATGTAAAGCCAAAGTTTGTATGGTTACTGCATTAATGTGACATACTTTTAATTGTAAGTACTATCCAAATGATAATGTAATAATAAATGTGTATACGTAATGACTTATGATATGACGTCATTGCAAATATAATTATCTGCCATTTTACTCTCTATTATCTTTATTATTACCTTTATAAATTATCAACTGTTATTTAAATATTTATTAAATTAACGCAGCATTTATGTGTTTCGTTCGCTACTTAATATACATATAATATTGTCGACACCAGTTACGTAAGCTATCAATTTATATTGCGCGCTGAATGTAGATATGTAATAGTTTTATTTAAAATATCTTTAAATTTCTTGTAACATATACTTACAGCGTATGTCATATTCTGTGCGAGTTTACCCTTGATATCAGGTTCATGGATGCTGACTATGTGTACGTGATGGCCTTTGCTAAGTAATCCTTTCAATAAATTTAACGTCCAAATATGATGACTAGTTGATAGTATGGGTTCTAATAGTAAAATCGATAACGAGTTTGATATTGTCACGAGTACCATTAAGGTACAATAAAAAATCAATTTTTTAAACATGATTAACAAGATATGTAATACGTATGCCTTTACTTCACTTGCTTGCTCACAATCGCGTTTCAAGCTCGAATGCATCAGTCTATAGATGTATTTGCCTAATAGCTATTTGTTATCTCTCTTCTGTTACTTATCATCTCCCTCCTCTTTTACCTCCTCTCTTACTCTTGCAAAGATTGCTTTGATTGAGTGGCAAGGCCATACAGAAGTGTTAATCTAATGCATGATGATAATGTTTATAAGCTTAATATTTTCAAGAATTTTATTTATTTTTCTCCGAAATTGTGTGAACATAATAAAAATAATAATGATTTAATAAATAAAATAAGTAAAAAATATTATTAATAATAATATTACACACATATATATATATATATATATATATATATCTTTACTTAAATATAAAAAAATATCATCAATGTCTTATTTTTTAAACTACTACAGCAAAATTATCATATGTAATTTATTGATGTATATTATTTTGTTAAGTTTAATTATTTTCAAAGTGCAGTCAATATTTCTTAATTATCTATTTAATTCTTGGGACTATGCATTTTTAACAGTTCTTTATAAAATATGTTAAATTAATTATGATTTAACATAATAAGATACAGTTCAAATATGTTAACAATGTAAGTGTAGTTTCTCTTTAAGTAATTTACTAATTTACTAATTTTGCAATTATTCAAAAAGTTATAAAGAAATTAGGAAGAAATCAATTATATAATGTTCTCGTATCGTTTGATATTAATGTTTAGATTATAAATGAAGACATTACTAATATAACAATCTTTATCATCAGCAATAATATGATTGTTCATATTTAATGCGTACAAAATGACATACAACAGATTATTTCGCAATTCATTTGTAAATGTATGGTATTCCTTGTTTAAATCTCATGTGAAGGAATCAATAATCAAATATCTCCATACTGGTTACTTTTAATCTCGATTTTAAACAAAAAATCAGGTTTTGTGTCACATATATTATACTACGTGATATTATAATATTAATATTTACACAAAATTTTTATATTTATTTTTATATTTATTTTATATTTTATATTTTTATATTTACAAGTGTGAATTTTTGATTAAAAAAGATGCATACACACACACACACACACACATATGTATATACAGGGTGTCCCACCAACTTCCGACTGAGTATCATGATTAAATGACAACATGACATATATCAACCTCTAATGCACGAGTCAGAAGTTGGCTATATCGCAGGACCGAAAATGAAATGGTGGACGTCGCCCGCGATATTTCAAGCTGGAAAATTTCGTATAATATGTAAAATATTTACATTAAATCATACATCGTTATATTCGTTTCAAACAGCGTTACAACTTTTATTATATCAAAATATCTACATTATTAAAATATTAAAAAAATTATACATATCTCTCCGTTCTTAAATACAGATAAATTTCGTAATCAACCACTATACTCACAATAAAGTTCAGTTAAAGCCATTAATTTTCATATATATTTGTTATGGTCTATCTCTTTTAAAAGATAAAAGGGAGTGACCACTTCTAGGTGGGATACCCTGTATATATATAGGATATTTTTGGTGTAAGGATGTAAAATGGAATATACTTTTTAGGGCAAATGAGTGATATTTATTTGTTGGATTACAAAATTAATATGAACAAAGAGAGACGCTCGTCTAGCGCGCGTCTTCGCGCTCTCGCAACGACACAGAGATTCTACGTGGGTCGTTTGATAAGTTTGGTAAATTTCCGTGAAATTCAACGAGTATTTTGCAAGTTTTGAGACAGTCTATTTTTTCGACGGTTAAAAAATTGGAATCTCGTTCGACCAAGTGTATAGACCTCAATGGAGACTATGTTGAGAAATAATGTAGATTTTTTCCAAAACAATGTGTTTTACTTGCTTTTTTACCAAATTTATCAAACGACCCTCGTAATTGTCGCGGACCGAAAAATGCTCGGGCGACCTATCTGTTTATATCTAATTCAAATGCTCGAGCGGTCTATCTGTTTATTTCTAGAAAAATACTCAAGCACTTGGGTAGACTTACGGACTCACTCTCTTTCATATATATTATTTATCAAATACATATGTAATATATATGTGTAATAAACATACAAATAAAAGCGGAAGTTATAAACTAACAAATTATAGGCTCCAATTTATGTCTCAATTTTCGAACAATAACACACAAGTATTATTTTTTTAATTTTTCCATAACTATATCTATATTTATATACATATGTATATCTATATATTTATATATATTTATTGTATATATATATATTTATAATAATTTGTTTTCTATGTAATATATTAACAATTAAATTCAAAATCTATTTATTTACCTATCTATTATATTTAAATATATTACATTTGTTTACGTTTTTGCAATTTACATACGGAACATATACGATTAAAATAAAATTTAAATAATTTTTTTAATACAAAAAATACGATCGACAATATTATGATAAGATTAAGAAATAAAAATACGTAAATATCGATTAAATTCTGTTCCACCCAACTCTGGGATCTAAGCGGAGATTCTAAATTTCCAGATGGATGACGGGTGGCGTATTCGATCCACCAAACGGCCAAATCTAACGGCGGCACTGGTCGATCCCGAAATTCATAGGATAACCGTTTCATATTTTTTGTATAACTGCACGACAAATATTTCATTATTAAAAACATTGTATAAACTTATGGTACACATTAATTAAACATGAAGAACATAGAAAATATATATAATAAAACATATTTAACAAAATATATTAAATTCTAAAAAATGTCGTTTTAAGTTATTATTATTATATAACTATAGTTACTTTTATATTAATACTATAATAATTATCACTGAAATATTCGAAATTATCATTGAAATATTATTCAAATTTATTCACAAAATGACATGTATGTATCTGTACATATATCTGTAAATATGTATTAAAAAAACTAATATCAGATATATTCAAATATCGTACCTTTCATTGTAAAGTACTTTTTCAAACGCGTCTAATACTGATTCCGTGGATAAAGTGGCAATGTCTAAGCGAACGCCAGCTCCTTTATGTACTAATAATTCCACATTGGGTTTTTGATCCGCAAAAAATGGCATTCCAATTACTGGCACTCCATTCCAAATAGCCTCTTGTGTACTAAGAAGACCACCATGCGTCCAAATTGCCTTTATATTCTTATGATCTGAATATAAATGTAATATAATAAATTTTAACTATCTCAACTGTATAAGAAATAAAGAGAATTAAAATCTAATATTAATACAAATATTTTGTGAGAATATACTGTGTAAATTTCTCTATTATTAAATTAATATAAAAGTGCAATGCAATTATAATATTATTAAATTAATATAATAATGCAATAATCATTAAAAAACAAATAAGAATTTAAAAATATAAATATTTAGATAAATATATGTACAAAAATAATAACTAATTATAAGAAATCATTATGAACATATTTATTTGCATATCTTCCAATAAATTATGAGACGTACTCAAAATTTCGTTTTGTTGTAGCCATTTCACAACCATTATATTATTTGATACTTCAAATGACAGTTCAATATCTAGCTTCCAAACAACTCGTTGATTGAGTTTTGATAGAGCTTGTGTGACGGCTTTAAGTTTATCTAATCCTATAGATTTCCAGTTTACATTTGTTCCCAATGATATTATGACAGCTCCATTTTTTGCATCATCAAGAAATTTACGTATGCTCTGCAAAACATATTTAACAAGATGAAAAAATACTTCGATAAAATCAAAATATACTTTCACTTATATTCAATCATAAATACATTTACAAAATAATTATAAAATCTATTATAAATGAAGAAATATTTAAAGAATTGGATTAATTTCGCGAGTAATAATAACTACTTAAATTATCAAAAAATCTCGTTATTAATAAGAATATTTTTTTTGTAATATTTCTTGTATATAAAATATAAATATAAATATTCAAATTTTTGTATAAATATGTACAAATCAATAATAAGTTTTAATTAAAGATTCAGAAAAAATTTCATTCAATTCCATTTCTTTAGCATGTACAATTTTGATAGTATTTTTATTAATTCTTAAATAATAAATCTCACATCGGGATATATTACGGCTTTTTCATCGGTAGCTTGTAATGGTTGAGCATGTAGTCCCCAATCTCTATGGCGTTTGGTGGCAGCGGAATCGCGGGTTCAAATGCAGAATGGGTATTGATTAATAAAATGGTAATATTTTTTTCTAGTTCACGTAACGGTCTGATTTCATGACCTATGTACCGTTCAGCAATTCGCTGAGAGATTGGCATGTAATAATAACTTCGTAGAAGATCATCTATGAAGTAATAAAAAGTATTCCACGTTTTTTGACATAGACTTTCGGGTTTCGCAATAGCTGTATTTGGATAAGATCGAACAGTCGGATAATAGGGACCACCGATATAATCTTTAAGCCAAGGTGCAAGACCGTATGGAACGAAACCTACGACAGGTGGTTTGCCTTTAGCAATCTGAAAACAATCTATATAAGATGATATTTTCTCATATTTTTTTATTTTTTTGAGATGATATTCGCTCATATTTTTGATTATGTAAGAAAGCCTAATTCTAAAAAAATGTATATATATATATATATATATATATATATATATATATATGTGTATAAATAGTGATTATAAATATAGGTATAAATGTATGTATATATGTAATAATTATTTCAATCAATTTTCAATCTACTTTTAAATTATAAGCGGTTATAATTTATAACAAATATTTAAAATTGATAATAAATAGAAAATATGTAATAGAAAATAATTTATAATAGATATTCTTAAATTATGTTTTATAAAAATTGTTGCAAAAATTTTCAAGTAAGAAGTTTCAATACTTATATAGTTCAATTTTGTAATTTAATAATTTAAATGTAAATTTATTTTACAATTAGATTGCCAAAATAGACGTAGTAAAAATTAAAAAAGTAATTAAAATTCTTAAAAAAAAATTAATTACAGATTTTTTTTAAAACAATTATACTTTAAATATTATCATCTG